TATATAGCAGCTCTTCTCAGGTTCCAGGGCCCCGTTGTCAAATAAAGAGAGCCTTAGGCTGTGTGCGAGCAAGGGTATGGCAAGGAACAGATGAATCTCTGGCCCCTTCTAATACACCAGGGCCCCCTAGTGGCCCCTGTTGAGAATGACTGCTCAAGAGTTTTGATTTGCCTTTTAAATAGGTTCCACTGTTCAACATGAAAAAAAAATTAAAAATGAAATATACTTCTAGCTACTTCTATTTCCATTTTTTGCTGGGCTTGTCCATGGGAAGGTCTTATTCTCCGGCATTTCAGCAGTCCGTGTGTTCCCTAGAACAGTGCCCCCCCCCAACCTTGGGCCTCCAGATGTTCCTGGACTACAACTCCCAGAAGCCTCCACCACCACAACCTCTGCTGGCCAGGATTTCTGGCAGTGGAAGGCCAAGAACATCTGGAGGCCCAAGGTTGGGGAGACCCCTGCCCTAGAACATTCCAGGGGCCCCACAAACAGGTTCAGAGACCGGCTAAAGTTGCCCAACCCTGCTTTAAGCTGTAGAGCAGGTGCAAGGCCACAAATTCATGGATCAAATTCTAATAGGCCCCCTACAGATTCTGCGGTTCTGTGGCATTGGAGTTGGAGGCATGATGATCATCGCGTGTCTACCATTTTGCTGTTTCATGGTGGAGAGAAGGTAAGGAACAAGTGAGACAATGATAAAACGCAGTTCTGGCATTGCAGCTGAACCATTCATTCGGATATATTAGTTCCCAGCTAAAAAATATGTCTTTCTGGACTACACCTCGCAGAATTCCCTAGGCAACAAAGCTGTCTATTGAATTCTGGAAGATGTGGTCCAAAAGCACACCTCTGAAAATGTATTGAGCGTAAAAGGGAGTGACGTTAACTCTGTAGTGGCGCTTACCACATTTTTTTCTTTTGAGATGTTCAGATCCAAGCATGCCTAAGTAACCAGAATGTAACCAGAATCTCACATGATGGAGAAGACTGGCTGTTGGAAAAATTATTTTCCACATCTCCCATGCTGTTTGGAAGGCCATGATGGTTAAAAGATTCGGGGAGTTGTATTCTCAAGAAGGGAACTTTTCCTAGCTCTGGGAAGGATTTATGGCCCCAATCTTAGACAGCTACTGCCATTCAGGGAGAAGCGAAGATTGGGTGATTCTGGATTTTTCTCCAGGGGTTGCCGGAACAAACCAGCCCCCCTCCTTCAAAAAAATAGTGAAACTTTTGCAATGTTCTGGCAAAAATCCAGAATGGGTCCACCGCTTATGTGAGGCCCAGAGTCACCAACTTCTGTGGCCAGGGAGAGTAATGGTCTGCTTTTGAGTTGGCCATGGGCGCATGTCAGAGGCTTATGCCAATGGCAGGCCATAGCCTTCGTATGCAAGCGGTATCTCTAGTCAAAAGGAAGATGATGATAAAGGGTGGAACAAACTCATTTCTACAAGAGGAGCTGCTAAAAAATCAGAGTCAATGTGGGCCAGATGAAGAAAGGATCCGTCCTGTTATGCTGGTTCCCTGGGTCTGTGCATTGTGACATAACTTTTGGCATGATGAGATGAGATGGACATGTTCCTTCTCGGCTAAGTCACAGATATGGCATCATGCGCCTGTCTCTAGTTATGGGCCAAGCAAAGAGGCTTTGGGAGAGATAGAGAGAAATTGGAGCCTCTATCTAGCAAAGCCGGAGATTGGATTTTCATGATCAAATTAGGCAAAAGAATCCGTTAAGACTGTCCAGTGAGTTTATTATCCAGGCGTTCAATGTTATGCTTTAGCTAGGATGAGCCATTGGACTTAGGTTGAAGCTAAGTGTTGATCCGAGTGTTATCATAGCTCGGAGACGGAGCACACCATTTAGAGAGAGAAAGTCCTGGGCTTAATTCGGTCGTTTGAAAAGCTCAGAGAGCAGGACCTACATCCTGCCCTGAAGAAGAGGTAATGATCCGCGCAGATAGTAGCAGGCTGGAAGAGTCCATAGTCTGTCCTAGGATTCAAAACCACAACAAAAGGAATTGTGTAGAACAGTGATTGCTAACCTTGGTAATTCCCAGAAACCTCAGCCAGCACAGCACATCGGAAGCTGCCGGTGTGAAAGAAACCACCGTCTCAGGATATACGTAAATATATAACACTGTATTTCTATGTAACATTGCCCATCATGTTTTAGCCTGAATTCACGGCCTTCTCCAGGGGCTGTACAAATAAAACAGAACAAGGGACAAGACATTAATATTTTTACATCTTTACACCTTCACATTGCAATGCACCCATTATATTTATGCATGCCACTAATGTCCTTCCTATAATATTTTGTATAGTACATAAATATAATGGTTACCTTTCTCAATTGAATGCAATTAATAAAATGCTGGACGAATATTATCTTTGTACAGTAACACCCCTGTATCCGCAGGGGAATCAATTCCAAGCGCTCCTGCAGATACTGAAAACCGCAGATTATAGTGAATTGGGCTGGTCACCTGACCGTAATAAATAAATTCTAATAGTGAACACTATTTTAATAATGATATATGTAGCATAGTCTCTGTCTCCTTCTGGTGGCCAGTTCTGGTAACTTCATTTTTGGAAATATATACAGTATTTCTAGGCTTTTTTCTTTTAATATTTTAAATATTTTCAGACCATGGATAAGTCAATCAGTGGACACTGATCCTACAGATATGGGGTCCTACTCTTTATTTAAGTTTCAGATGATTATATTTATTGTAATGTAAAAGAAAGCTGCCTGGACAGCTCAGTGGTTTTAGACTCTGGCTGAAGACCCAGAAGTTGGGATCTCAATTCTCCACTCTGCTTTCCAAATGAAGAGCCAGCCTGTGTGGCCTTGGGCAAGCTGCACAGTCCCAGAGCACCCCTAGAGGAAGGGAATGGTAATGCACACGTGAATATTCTGTAGCTAGGAAACCCCGAAAAGAGTTGCTGTAAGTCAGAAGCAACATGGTTATTATTATTATTAATGACACTTGGTTATTATTATTATTAATGTAAAAAAAGGCAATCAATTCAGGCCAAAACACATCAAGCCATTTTAAATTGAAATGAAATGTTACTATTTCCCCCTCCTTACATTCTGAGACTGTGATTTCTCCTACACAATCAGATCTGGCCTAGGAGAAGGCCGTTTTCTATGTGACTGCAGAAATTGTCAGCACAAAAGTTGCTTGGCTATCAAATTGTTCGCCATGAAAGGAAACTGCCCTGTTTTGTACATATGGCACTGCCACATCCCATGCCTTCTTGCTCTCAGCTTGCCAGATGGTTATTTGTTGGAAGTTTTCAGACATGGACCTCATGCTGCGCGAATCTTCGCGTTTACAACTGCCTCCGCTCTCGGCGCCCAACGACGAAATGGTGGAGAGTTGCACAGAGGCATTGGCAAGCTTCCAGTCCAGACCCAAGATATTAACAAAGAATTGTCTGCTCAAATGAGCATCAGGGAGAGATTTTAAAAAAACACGTCCATCAATGTTGTTGCGAGTCCGCCAAAGAAAGCAGAGTTTGCAGTGGCTGGAACCATTACTGTTACTAGGAATACAGCTGCATATAATGTGTTATCTTTTAAATCTTGTACTGAACTACATGCGAAATCATTTTAATTTCTAGCATATCCTATTTGAAATGTCCGGACATCTCAAAAGAAGGAGCCACCATTAGATAATATTCTTTCTTCCCCTTTCAATACTGGAGTTCTTTTGAGTTATCAAATTTCCTTCCTCTAGAGTTCCTTCAGTGCAGTGGTTCCCAAATTGTGCAACATGGCACCCTGGGATGCTGTCAAACCCTAGCTGGGGCATCACAGAATCCTTGCAGGTACTTCTGCAGAATCCACAGAATTCCCACACAGACCAGGCTTCCCCTCTCTCTCTTCTGTCCCCACTTCCCCAAAGTATTGTATTAGGGGAGTCACCGCAAGTGGCCAGAATGTCAAAGGATATGTTAGTCAAAGAATGCTTTCGTGTATTTGCAAGGCCCTATTCCCTCTGTCCCCACTTCCCCAAAGTATTGTATTGGGGGAGCCACTGCAAGTGGCCAGTACAGCAAAGGAGATGTTAGTCAAAGAATGATTTCGTGTATTTGCAAGACCCTACTTTCCCCCCCAAGTCTGCAGGTGCATTGCACAGGTAAACTCTGCACTGATCATTGCATTTAGCTTTTGTTTGCAAGCCAACTGGGAAGGGTTGATGTTGCATTCGTATAAAGCAGAGGTCTCGCTGGCTGGCTGCTCTTCTAAGCCCTAGCTACTGCCACCTGCTGCTGCCATCTACTGAATGAAATGTGTACCCTAACTGATGCCCGCCCCCCTTTAATGCTGTTGCAGCCCATGTGCCAACCCGTTACGGAGACGGGCGGAGTCAGAGGAAGACAGTGAGGAAAGCGACAGCACTGAAAACGGAGAGAGCGAATCTGGGAAGTTAGTTCGCAAAGACGTTGAGAAGCATCGGACAAGGAAGAAAAGGGGCAATTAAATCATCCATCACTACGTACCCAATTCTACTGGAAACATTGCTTTATCAATTAAAAACATGTATATTCTCCCTTTCCATTTTCAGTGTACAAGGTGGCATAAAAATCATAACTCACTTTCTCCATCTAAAATTAGAAGACCTCCTATCAGCAACAGAGTCACCATAGTAGGAAGCGAAGCAAGAGAGGGATAGTTTCCTCCAGGGAGCTGGGGGAAGAGTCCCTATAAGCAATGCAGGACAGAACGGTGGAGCTTCTTATGGTGAAAGGTGGGTGATGAGGATTGCACCAAAAGTGGGCCAACAAACGACATATTGGAAGAAAAGATACCATGGTGAAAAGTTATAAGCCTTCATAAAAGTGAAAGCAACTATTAGCCCAAATCCTGTTGCTTAGCACAGGAAAGGGCACAACAGGTTGCCCATTGCATCACTGGGAACCAACGCCTCTATAAGTTCCATTGGGCAAAATCCTGTTGCGTACCATCTCACCTGGTGCAACCCAGACTGGGCTCCAGAATCATTTAATGTACACAAATTAAAAACATCTTGCAACCCCTTCCCGGTTTGGGTTCCGAGGCTCCCTTGAGCTCCCTTTTGCCCCTGGGGAAGCCTTTGGGAATCTCAAGACAGGGTGGGGGGGAGCCTTTAAAAGTCAAAAATTACCACTAGATCCATTGTATCAATCCCAATCCTATTGGTGGTGATCCAATGGAAATTTTTAACTTTGAAAGGATTCCTCCCCCACATTCATAAGGCATCCCAGAGGGAGGGGGGAATGAGTGAATGAATGAGTGAATGAATGAGTGAATGAATGAGTGAATGAATGAGTGAATGAATGAATGAATGAATGAATGAATGAGTGAATGAGTGAATGAATGAATGAATGGACAAACAAACCCTAGGAAATCTCAAAAGCTAATATGGGCTTTTAATTAGTGTAAACCAAATACTTCTGGAGCCTGATCCAGGGTACAGTGGGCACAAAGTTACACAACAATGCCCAGTGATTCAGGTGGGTCTACTCTTAACTGTGACTTATTTTAGCAGAGTAAGCCACAATTAGAGTATTTATTTATTTATTTATTTATTGAGCTTCTTGACCACCCGGCTTAGTGAGACGCTACTCGAGGTGGTTTACATACAAACTAAAATAGTAAAAGAATGCGTACATAATACTAGAAATTAAACAGAAAGGTGAATGAGGATTTCCACCTGGTGCCTTATGTGAACCACAACATAATTAGCAAACATATCCAGCAATATAATGAAAATAATCAACAGTAGGCCCCTTTGAATCAATGGAATGTGCAGATGAGTTAACTTACTAAATCCCCATTTCTTCAGTGTGCCTCCTCTAGTGTAATTTACTACACAACGTAACAAGATTTTGGCCAATATATTGTCGTCAAAATTATAGCAATCGTCTTTGAAACACAGCAAGCAATATATTGTCGTCAAAATTATAGCAATCATCTTTGAAACAGCACAAGAAGCAGGTGTGCTACAATTATTAGAAAGAAGAGTATTTGAAAGTGAGACCTGTCTTTCAAATTAATCTCCACAAGATGGTGGTATAAGCAAACCATCTTGACGGTGTTTGGTTTTCCTTTGTAAGATGCTGTCTTGAACAACTGTGACTCATGGTTCCCCTTTGAAGTTTTTTTTTTTAATTCTCCTTTTATTGCATGGTTTATTACTTCTTAAGAAGGCAGAAACTGGATCATAAAGCACCTCAGTGGATCCAATTTTTCAATTTTTTAAGTGGCTGTGTATGAAGGACTGCTTAATTTGGCTATGCAAAGAAATACAGACAGGCTACGTGTATGTCTAGCCTAGGAAACAAGTTAAAAGAATCCTTTGTCCATCTCTTCAAAGCAAAATATATCGTTGAGTACAGTGGCGCTGGCTGCTTAAGCCCATTAAAATATATTGAAATAAGTTCATTGTATCGGGACGTGGTGGCGCTGCGGGCTAAACCGCAGAAGCCTGTGCTGCAGGGACAGAAGACCAAGCAGTCGTAAGATTGAATCCACGTGACGGAGTGAGTGCCCGTCGCTTGTCCCAGCTCCCGCCAACCTAGCGGTTCGAAAGCATGCAAATGCAAGTAGATAAATAGGGACCACCTTGGTGGGAAGGTAACAGTGTTCCGTGTCTAAGTCGCACTGGCCATGTGACCATGGAAGATTGTCTTCAGACAAAACGCTGGCTCTATGGCTTGGAAACAGGGATGAGCACCGCCCCCTAGAGTCGAACACGACTGGACAAAAATTGTCAAGGAGAACCTTTACCTATCTCATACCATAGCATATCATTTCTTGGTTCTGTCATATTTATAGCTGATGTTATACACAGAGAGAAGTGCACCAGACACACAAATGGAGCATAATGTGTCTCATAGCATTGATACGCAGTAGTCAACGTTAGGACTTTGTAGGGTTGTTGTTGAGAACAGCTAACCTCTAATTGGTAGCTCCAGTGAAGCTAAGGAGGTACTCAAAGTGGAAGCTGGTAGGTGCTCCCAGGAACAACCCTCTTATTTCAGTAAAGGGTCTACTCTAGGCTTGAGGCAAGCAATCCAAGGTGCTGATTCCCGCCACCACCAAAGTAGGTGCTCCCAGGAACAACCCTCTTATTTCAGTAAAGGAAGGAGTCTACTCTAGGCTTGATGCAAGCAATCCAAGGTGCTGATTCCTGCCACCACCAAAAAGATGTAGTACCTTGGACAGCTCATTTAAAGTTCAGAATAAAACTCAGACTTACAATAACAGGAACAACCCTCTTATTTCAGTAAAGGAAGGAGTCTACTCTAGGCTTGATGCAAGCAATCCAAGGTGCTGATTCCTGCCACCACCAAAAAGATGTAGTACCTTGGACAGCTCATTTAAAGTTCAGAATAAAACTCAGACTTACAATAACATTGAAGAGCTGGAAGGGACCCTATGGAGCATCGAGTCCAACCCCTGTTATGGAGGCACAATGAGGGTTTGAACTCCCACACTCACTGCCAGATGTCTAAATTACTGAGCTAACCACTCAGCTATCTCTTTAATGGCCATGGCTCCATCCTATGGAATCCTGGGGTTTGTAGTTTGGTCCTTAAAATTCTCTGCTTAGAATTAGTGCAGTGGTTCTTAACCTTTGTTACTCGGATGCTTTTGAACTGCAACTCCCAGAAACCCCAGTCAGGACAGCTGGTGGTGAAGGCTTCTGGGAGTTGCAGTCCAAAACCCCTGAGTAACCCAAGGTTAAGAACCAGTGAATTAGTGAACTCCCTGGGGCTACCATGGAGAGTTCTAAGTACTGCCCGTCAAATTACCTGTCCCAGGATTCCATAGGATGGAGGAACAGGAGAGAAAGTGCTCTCAAGCAGTTACAGCTGTGTATGTAGATATACAGTATTCCTAGCCTCAATAGTTGCTTCTCTGTGAACTGCACCCTTGCAATTATGTGGATATGGTTGTAACAGTTTGATCTGGCTGATGTGCTTATTTTGATGCTGACAGCGCTGATCTGAGTTCTTTGGGAAGACAGGTGGGACAGCAGTGTGGTAGCAAAATAAGTAAGACAAAACATAATCATCCCATGCCAGACATGTGTGACGTTGTCATTATCTCTACCCACAGTGAATCATTCTTGGCAGCTTCACCGCATTACTCAGCCTGATGCATAGGCGACCCAGCTCCAGCTACAAGGAGCACTGTTAATTTTAGCATAGGAGTCCCATGACTACTATTATAGCAATTAGTTGAAGTATAACTCTGTGACTTACAGCGGCGTAACTCTTGTATTGTGCCTGGATTCTTGAGAAGGTCATTTTTGTCATTCTGTGATACAACTTTGGCACACTCAGATGGAGATCAAGAGTTCACTTGGCAATGAAGTGAAGGCCTGTTAGATGTGTGTCTTTTTATCTTGGACTAAAATATGTCGGTCAGAATCCTATTGGGGTTTGGGTAGAGTCTGCATAATTTGCCATGGCTAATCGTGGCTAATTGGTGAGGTGCCAAGGCAAGTCTCAACTGCATGCCTGGTCATGCTCCCAATTATGCAACCAAGTAGTGTCATGGCACTTTGTCAGTTAGCCCCAATTAGCTTACATGATATTTTGTAAAAATTTATATAATGCCTGCCATTGATGTAGGAAACTTTCTTACCCCAGGAACGACTATTTGTCCATGTAGTACAGTGGTTCCCAACCTTGGGTCCCCAGATGTTCTTGGACTACAACTCCCAGAAGCCTCCACCACTAGCTGTGCTGGCCAGGATTTCTGGGTGTTGTTGTCCAAGAACATCTGGAGCACCAGAGGCTGGGAAGCACTTCTCTAGCTCTTCATTGTCCACACAACCAGAAGCTCCAGTCTATGACTTGGACAATGAAATTTACAAAGTATTTTGTTGGGCATTTATTTATTTGCAATTTCATAAGGCAGATATTCCATCTCCATTTGCTGTGGTTCTTCTCTTTAATTCCCAAGTCTCTTCATAAGTATTACTAAACAGCTTTTGTGGGTTTTTTTTTAAATAGTTTGTTTTGTTGAGAAGGACATTGAGCTCGATACCAGAGTGGACTGATGCCTGTGTAATAGCAGAACCTACCAGATTAAATCACTGGGACCCCATTAAAGAAAGGGAACTGGTACTGGGAAATACATTGGCCCAATAGCCAAGACTTTTTTGTTGCCGGAGGTGAAGGACAAGATGCCTCAAGAGATGGGAAAACGTCCTTTTCTGGGATATAAATTTGAGAATTCCCCCAGCCCACAGCCATGAGGCATGGTGATTGGCATCCACCGAAGAACATTTCCTATGTTTGACCACTTTTGGTCACCAAGAGATGCTCGACTATGCTCAGGCAACTGTCTTCTGTTCCATCATCAAAGCAGGGCCAGCAGGATTCATTGATGTCCCAGAGAACATGACTGTAACTATCGAATCCAACTCTGGTACTTATTATGACTTTGATGGAGTGGCTCAGAGCATCTCAGAGAGGAGAAAGGAACATTAATGAATCCTAGTGATCTGACTTTGGTTATGAAGTATCAGACAGAAACTGGAAATTACGCTT